TTCATGTTAATGTTCATGTTCATGTTAATGTTCATGTTCATGTTAATGTTCATGTTCATGTTAATGTTCATGTTCATGTTAATGTTCATGTTCATGTTAATGTTCATGTTCATGTTAATGTTAATGATCATGTTAATGTTAATGATCATGTTAATGTTCATGTTCATTTTAATGTTCATGTTCATGTTAATGTTCATGTTAATGTTCATGTTAATGTTCATGTTAATGTTCATGTTAATGTTAATGTTCATGTTCATGTTAATGTTCATGTTAATGTTCATGTTCATGTTAATGTTCATGTTCATGTTAATGTTCATGTTCATGTTAATGTTCATGTTCATGTTAATGTTCATGTTAATGTTCATGTTAATGTTCATGTTAATGTTCATGTTAATGTTAATGTTCATGTTCATGTTAATGTTCATGTTAATGTTCATGTTCATGTTAATGTTCATGTTCATGTTAATGTTCATGTTCATGTTGATGTTCATGTTCATGTTAATGTTCATGTTCATGTTAATGTTCATATTCATGTTAATGTTCATGTTCATGTTAATGTTCATGTTCATGTTAATGTTAATGATCATGTTAATGTTAATGTTCATGTTAATGTTAATGTTAATGTTCATGTTCATGTTAATGTTCATGTTCATGTTAATGTTCATGTTCATGTTAATGTTCATGTTCATGTTAATGTTCATGTTAATGTTCATGTTCATGTTAATGTTCATGTTCATGTTAATGTTCATGTTCATGTGAATGTTCATGTTCATGTTAATGTTCATGTTAATGTTCATGTTAATGTTCATGTTAATGTTCATGTTAATGTTAATGTTCATGTTCATGTTAATGTTCATGTTAATGTTCATGTTCATGTTAATGTTCATGTTCATGTGAATGTTCATGTTCATGTTAATGTTCATGTTCATGTTAATGTTCATGTTCATGTTAATGTTCATGTTCATGTTAATGTTCATGTTCATGTTAATGTTCATGTTCATGTTAATGTTAATGATCATGTTAATGTTAATGTTCATGTTAATGTTAATGTTAATGTTAATGTTAATGTTCATGTTAATGTTAATGTTAATGTTAATGTTAATGTTCATGTTCATGTTAATGTTAATGATCATGTTAATGTTAATGTTCATGTTAATGTTAATGTTAATGTTAATGTTCATGTTCATGTTAATGTTAATGATCATGTTAATGTTAATGTTCATGTTAATGTTAATGTTAATGTTAATGTTAATGTTCATGTTAATGTTAATGTTAATGTATGTATTCAACATGAGTCCGCCGTGTCCAGGTTGCTGTACGACCTTCGCAACTTCGGGCACTCCTCAGTGGATGGCGCCCAGGGCCCAGAAGCAGAAGCGAAGCTCCGGGAGCAGGCGAAGGCGCGCTCCCATCTCGCCCATCCGCGTGCCCAGTGAGTGCTCGAAGTGGGTCCGTTGGATTTTTTCTTTGGGTAGGTACTTCTTTTTTTTTTTAATGTGTGTCTGCCCCTTTTCTTGTTTTTCAATAACCAACAGAAAGGACACCCATACTTTTGTTTGTGGGTACCCTACCCCCCCTGTGTTTGTGTATACGCCCCTCCTGTTTTAGTGGTTTTAGAGTGAAACCAACCAGAAAGGACACCCTGAAAAGCGGGTCTCCAAAGTGGTCCACACAAAAGAGCGCACCTCGGTGCACCCATGGCCATCCTTTTGGCATTCTGGGGACGCGAAGGGAGGCCAGCCAGTTGGGACCCGGACCACGAGAAAGCCTCAATTGGACTCACCGGCTCACGGACTCCTCAGGTTCAGCAAGCCAAAAGCCCTGATGGGTTTTTCCGAGAGCCATGGTCACTGGTCACTGGTCCGAAAACCCCCAGGGGTTCGCATGTTGGTAAAGAACAGTTTGGGTGTGTGAGAACCGGGAAACAAGAGGGGCATGACCAAAGAGAAGCCTGCCAGATGGATCCCCAACTTGGGAGAACCTCGTAAGACTCTCATGCAGGGTTTCCCTTCAACCAATAGGTAAGACATTTCTGTTGGGCCTTTGGTGGAGAGTTGCAAAATCATATACAGTGAGTGTGTCCCAACTATTAAGCTCATTGACGCATGTCCAGAACCCGCGTGTAAGCTTCAACCGCAAGGGCACGACAGTTGACGCAGGAACAAGCAGAGCTGGACCTTCGAAACATGGAGGCGATGGCTCGTGGATGGATGGGATTGCGACCGCGAGCGCTTTCTCAGAGTCCCCAAAACCAGGCGATGGTTCTGACATTGGCGTCTCAAGTAGGGAGCTTTTCCCCAAAAAAGAGGGGCAAAAGGGGGCTTTTTCACCATTTCGAACAGCACTCCGCTCATGGATCCCGGTTTCGCTTCACTCAGGTGGAGCTGCAAAGGATATTGCAGGCGGAGCGGGCCAAGAAGGGCATTCTCGTGAAGCAGGCGCTGGGGTTGTGTCACATGATGTTTCCGAGTGCTCACGCGAGAACTCGGCGAGCCAAATGCAGTCTGTCGCACCTTCCGCAGTGTGGCTGCAGGGAAGCAGAAAGATCAGACCTTACCAACCGATCAAGTATGATCATCGTTCTGGAGCACCAGCTTTGAGCTCAAGATGTAGAAAGACACGATTTTAGGTTGTGCAACTTACAAAGACAGGAGAAGGTTGTGCAAGTGGACCCAAAGGTTGTTTGTGAAGAACAGCGCACTTCTCCTTCTCCTTTGAACCGGTCAGAGGCCTTGCGCTTTGGTCATGTACGATGTTGCCGTGGTGGGAGCCGGCCTGATCGGCTCAGCTTGCGCCAAGTATCTCCGCGGCAAAAAGCTTTCTGTTGCGCTGGTGGGACCAACAGAGGAGCAAGGCGCACTTGGCTCGTGCTATGACGAGGGCAGAGCCCCGGAAAAATGGGAGTCGTATTTCTTTTCTTTGGAATTCTTGGCGTGGTTCTTCAAGTCGACTTCCGTTTCTGAGATTTGATCTCCACTTCGCTCTCGAAATTTGTGCGGGCTCCAGGGATCTATCGCATCGCGGACCCAGACAAAGTGTGGGCAGATCTGGCAGAGGCTTCCATCCAACGCTACAAGGCGACGTGCACAGCGGCTTTTTCTCGAGCGGTTCTAAGGGAACTTAGTTCTTTTTAAGGCAGCCGCAGGGAACTCAACCGATTTTCGAGTTCCCACAAAAAAAAAAGAGAAAACGTTCAGGCGATCGAAGATGCAGCAGGAGAGGCATTTTTCGAGGAGGTGGGTTGCTTGATCGTTGGCGACCCGTCATTGGACTGGATCCACCGGATTCGTCGGACGCTGGCGGCGTTTGGCACGGAGGGCAAGGATTTCTTCGCCTTGGACGGCAAGGCGGCCATCGAAGCCGAGTTCTCGTTCTTGAGGCCCGGTGGAACACACGCGCGCACACTTCTCCAGGTTTGTTGAAAAAGGAATCAGCGAGAAGCAGATGCGTTACATACATATTAGATATGTGTACGCAAGAAAAAGGGACTCCTAGAAATTCTACCTCTATAGCAACAACAGGGACCCCCCCCAAACATGTGTTTCTCATTTTGGCTTCCCATTGAAGGCGATGCAACTCAAAAAGTAGCCCCGCACATGTCTGCCATCGCAACCTGGAGCTTCCGAGGTGCCACCCGTGTTTGTCGGGGTCTACAAGTGAAAGGTGACACCCGCAAGAAGTTTTACCCAAAAGGTTCAAAGGGACACCCCCAAGTGTTGAGCACCCGTGGGCCATGAATATCCAGGAGCCCTTTCGCTGAAAATCATTGACGGATTGGCATGCTCTTGGTCAAGTAATTTGGGGACCCCCTCAAAATGCACCTGCTTTAAGACACCAAACCACCAGAACCCCCCCCCCCCCCCTCAAAAAAAAGAAAGCACGCACGAAAACACAGAAGCAACAACAAATCAAATAAACAAGAATATATATATATATATATAACAACCAACAGCAACAACGTGGAAAATTGCTACATCTCTCAGCGTCTTGGCGCCGTTTTCCCTTTGCCTCGAGGCTGCCTGCGGCGCAGTGGCTGGGTCTTTGGCAGCCGAAGCGGGCTGGGCATCTCAGCCCGCGCCGGCTGGCGCAGCTGCAGGCGGAGCTCTGCACCAGGACAGTCGCCCCTACAACCGTGGACATCCAAGTGGTTTGTTCTGTCAACGGGTAGGCGAAACAAGAAAAGATGGACAAGAGGAGAGCTTGACATGGCTTTGGGTCGACTCCTTTGATAAGAACAATAAAATGAGGTACAACAAAACAAACAGGTTTTGGCTATCGACCACATTTTGCGCCGACGGTACAATGAGAAACCCAGAGCTCGTTTCGCTCCTGGGCCTTGGCAACTTGAGGAACCTAAGTTTTGTGGTCCTCCGAGTTCACCCATTGCTACAGCTCCAGAAACCCAACAAAAAGGCCCACGCGCTTTCCGCTTCAGCATTGGCATGTGACCCAACGCGTTTTTCCAGGGGCTACTTTGTTGGAGTTGGTTTTAAGCTTCCTTGAGCTGACTATTGTGGACCCGTCGCAGGAGCGGCGCCGATGTGTTTCACACCCAACTGGAGGGAGTGCAACGGACCCCCGGCGGCTGGTCGCTGCGCTTGGCAGATTCTCAGATCGAGGCCAGGAAGGTTCTGCTCGCTGCCGGGGCCATGACCTCCTGGCTGTGGGAACGGCCACTGGACGTGAAGCACCAGACATCGCAGGAGCGGTTCGTGTTCCAAAGCTCCCCCACCCGCAGCCTTTTGGGATAAGAATTAGACACGGGGGGAGAGGAGCCCGGCGCCCGGGGGGTTTTAGGACGTGTGCAAGAGTGGACGAGTGGTCGTGTGGGTGCGCGATGGGACAAGCCATCCGCACGTGCACGTCCAGTCGTACATAAATAAGTCATGTAATGATCCGATTTGTACGTGAATGCATGCGTGAAATGCTAGAATTGTATTGGCAACGTTTTGGACTGCACTGAGGCAAAGGAATGGGCTCTGGCAGGTGTTCCAGTTTCTTCCTGGAACTTTTTCCTGGAACTTGGGGACTGGTGAATCACTTGCGATGTGGAAGCTTCGATTAGATTTTCCGGCAGGCGATTTTGTACGAGGTGTCGGCGGAATCCCGGCACAAACTGGAGAAGATGCCCGTGATGATCATCAACGGGCCTGCTGACCCACAGGAGCGCTGGTACATTTTGCCCCCCATCCAGTACCCGGATGGCAGATGTTACCTGAAGATGGGCTATGATGGCGATGCGTTGAACAAGATCTTGCAGACGCAAGAGGAGGTCACATCTTGGTTGAGAGCCAAGGAGATCAACCCGGAATTGCTGTTAGTCGCCGGTGCCTGGGTCAACATTATCATTTTCTATGCCGATTGAGATGATGGTGGTAGGACAGATCGTCATCCTAGGTTGATGGTTGAACGTTGACAAAGCGACAGATCTCATTGACGTTTTCGGGCTACCCGTTTCGCTAAAGCCCATCTCTCTGTTGGTGGGTTGAAGGTAAGGTGAAGCGAAGAGCAGCCTCTTTCCCTCGGTGAAGTTTACCGGGCGCGAGAGCCGAATTGTTTGTATCACGGACCAGACGAAGCCCAACGAGCAGGGCCAGCGCCGGCCCTACGTCGACTTTCTGCACGCTGGGCTGGGAGTAGCCACCGGAGGTATCCGCGGGCGGCCAACATTGCAACCAAACCCTGGTTCTCTTAAAGGTTAAGCAACCGTTCATTTGTTTGCCAATTTTTGATCATTGAACCAACAATCACCTGAAAGACACAAAGACGTGGAGGCCAAAGTCATGGCTCGGCCCAACCCCAGTGAAACAAAGCACGGCTTCGCAAAAGCAAGAGTCGCAGCCCAAAGGAGGTTGTCAAAAGAGTTGTTCAAACATATGGGTCTGCTTTTTTTGAGGGTACCCATATTTTTTGTGTTTTTTTTCAAGGAAACTGACAGGACAGCCAAAGGGGGTCCCCCCGAAAGGCAAACCCATATCCTTTTTTTGTTCTTCAAGGGGAAGGCGAAAGGAGGTTGTTTAAACCGTGGATGCTGAGATGGTTCAAGCAAGGTGAATCGCCCAACACCGGAGGCAACGGCTGGGCGGCCAAAAGCTCCGATCACATCGGGTGGCTGGCCAGTGAGATGATGTCCAGTGACTCCGGCTGGGCCACGGATGCGGAAACTCTGCGACGCTTCCCCAAGGCATCGGCGGGGTGCCCAAGTGTTCGCTTGTGGTTGACAGACAAAGGGAGGAAACGTAGGGCAAAAGGGCGAAAAGGTCAGTTCAGTCTATTAGGCTTTTGCAAAATCGGTTGAAGCAATCAAACCGCCTCTTTAAAGGGAGACATGAGGATCTTTTTCAGCTCTGGTTTAAGCATGAAACAGGTGAGTGGCTGAACCCTGCCCGGAGGCTTTGTTCCAAGCTCAGTACAAGACGAATTCCGCGCTTTGAGACTTGTGAGAGATCGAGAAGCCGACGATTCGTGAAGCCTGAGAAAAGGAGCTGCTCACTCTTTGCTTGCGGACAGGTCATGGCGACATTTGCAGAAGCCAAATTGGGAAGACGCCCAAACCAATCCAAGCCACGGAGGCTTTTGATGTTCGGATCCTTTGCGTGAGGCTCTCTATGGGAACCTGCAGCTTCGCGAGTCTCAGCTTCACCGTGCGCTGAAGCGAGACAGGCGCGCCGCGCTGGCGCTTCGGGCGCTTCTTCGGCCCCCCCAGAGGTGGCATACGAGGTTCGGTCAGAAAACCATCAGGCCCCGCGTCCAGGCTGCGGAAAAATCTATGGTTGCCTGGTTTATGTTCATTGGCAACCTGGGTGTCTCTTTCTTTGAGGGTACGCTGTTGGGGGTGGTTCCAAAAGGAATAAGACACATCAGCAGCAACACCATGTTTTGCCGTCCGCATCCCCAGTTTCAGACCCAAGGACGTGTTTTTTTTTTCGGTCCGAAGGACCTCTCCGAACCGGCCAGGCCCATCCAAGCGGAGGACGTGGTGGGCCCTTGGATCGACGTCACCTCGGCGGTGCAGTGCCTGGTGGAGCAGCACTCCATCCGGATTCATGGCCGCGCCGCGTCTTCCAAGGCGGTGGACTGGACGTGGACGTCGACCCCGGGGTTTGGTGGGTGGAATCGAACCCCCCTGGCTGGATGCGAAGAGTTTTTTTTTTCCTCGGCGGGGAGGGGGGGGGATGATATGGGGGTTGATTCAATCTTCCATTTCGGGCCCCCCCAGTTTTGACCATGATGATAGCTTTTCCCATGTGGTGAAAGTTTGTTTTTGTGGTTTCCCTAATGGTCACCCCTTGTAAGGGACCTTTTACCGCATGTTTACTCTTCCCAGTGGAAGTGGAGGCTTGATTGCAATTTTCAGAGAAACTTCTGGAACCTTCTTTCTTGCCAGTTGTCTGGGAAGGAGATTGAAGGACCCTCAAAGATCCGTGGGATTCCTTTCGGTTTCCCTGTAAAACCATCTGAGAAGCGGACACCCCATTTGATACACACGGCTTCCAGCCGACGTGCAGGCAGATCTGCCGGGGTTTTACAACCCCGTGCCCGGGGACATGGAGTCGGTGGATCTCAGCCTCTATGTGCTCTACGAGTTCTCGGGCAAACTTCATGAGGAGCGGAACGCGGAATAACAGTGACCAAGGGACTCACAAGAGGTTGGAGACAGGTGAGTGTGTCTTTTTGGACGCATACCTTGACCAGCAGGGGGCCTTTTTGTTGAACGGGGCGGTTTTGCGACATGAGCGGCATTCGTCGGTTTTGGGAAACAGCCAAGAGCCCTGAAAAACCAAAACCCCAAATGGCTGTGGCTCAAATAGATGTACCAAAATGGCCCCCTTGGTAATGGAACCAAAGACTAAAACCTGCGCAACCCTAGCTGGTGGATTTTGAGCCACACCCAAATGAAGGCTGCAAAATAGACCCTAAGTGTCCACCATACTGTGGATGGGCAGAATCCTGCACCACTTTGAAACCACGGGAAACCATTGTTGGTTGGTATTTACAGGGGAATCGTCGTTCCAGGGTGGGGTGTCTTAGGTGGTGCAGGGTTTCGTCCATCCACAGTGGCGGGGGTGGGGGTCTGCCCGTGGCTCGTGGGAAGGTCACCGTTGAGGATCGCGAGACGCTGAATATCCCGCTGAGGACCGTCTGTCTTGCCTCAAGAGCTAAGGAGATTCCCCGCAAAAAAGGATCCCCAGATTTCCCCACCACCTCACTTAGGGAACCTTCTGTGGAAGCTGACGATCGGACGCCCGGAAGGTTTTGGAAGATATAAGCTTTCCGTTTGGGTCCCGATCCTGCTCATCGTCCACTTCCATGATTGTTGGAAGATCATAGCCTGACCCATGAGACCAACCATCGACAAGTCCAGTGCAGTAGGCTCGTGCCTCTTTTTCTTGTCTGCTTGGTGAACACTCGGAAGTGTCCAATGTCCAGGAAGCACATTGTACAGGGCCATCCTCGAGGGCCCTTCCCGTCTGCGAATGTGTTGCTGCTGACACGGAGGAGGCCCCGCTTTGCGCACAGACTCTGGATCGCGCAGGGGATCTGACGCTTTTGGGAGAAATAAACATGTGTTTCTCAAATTCGTAGCCCCTTTTGGTAGGAAAGCCAAAAAGAAACCAACTATTTTTTCGGGGTCCAGCTTTTGGAGACAGCCCGTAAATCCCCGAAAAGTGGTCCGGCAGCTTGACATTTGAACCCTGGACTCCGTTCGCCAGGCAGATTCCGGCTGAGGAGTCTCCCAGGCGCGAGGAATTTGACAATAGAACCAAACTGGCTGGTGCTCAGGAAATGAAAAATGGAATGACCCCGAGAAGAAAGCATGCCCTATGGTTTCCCTCACGGGAATTTCAGGTTCATTCCCTCACTCCCTGAGCGATGGGTGAAGCGGGCGCTTTGGACAACGTTTTGAGCACTGAGGCAGGGCGAGGTGAGGAAACTGCGCAGCATCTACTCGCCACAAGAGGCGGGCGGGCGGAGCGCGGATGGAGTGGAGCAGCTGACCAGGGAGCGTCAAGTCAGGGGAGCTCGTGGAAATAGTCGACACCTGTTGGTTGGTCTACAAAGGGACACCAAAAGGAAATGCCACCATTTTGGAACCACCAGTTCGAGCAACCCTCTTCCGCTCTTTGCGCACAAGAAGCGGTGTGGCCAACATCATTTGTGCAGGCACCCTTGAAGATTGCTCCTTTGGCTAGCACAAAGTTGGGCTTTCGGTTGGAACGCGTTTAGAGCTGTAAGCCTTCAGCCTCAAAAGTGCGCCTGGGGCATCGCAGCGTGCTGCTTTGTGGCATGGGCCATTGTCCTTGGCAGTTTCAAGGGGCTTCGCAAGTGCCGGAGATTACCTAGAGCATCAACCAAGGAACCCAACAGGGCTCCCTGTTTTTCTTGTTTGACCATCACCGGAGACTTACTTTGGGCACGAAAGGTGATGTGAAAAAACCATTTTGAACCCAAGGCCAGGGAAGTGTAAGGTGCCTCACAGCACGAAAGGTGGTGTCTAGACCAAAGAACAATGTAAGGCGTCAACCGGGCACCCTCCAAAAGCTGGACCGACCCGGGAGCCAAGTCCACATGGCCATGACTTGAAAAATAGGGCACCCCCCCCCGGAAAGCGGCTGGACCTAAATCCACCCACCGAGTTTCGAGGCGCTGCGCCGGGCAGTTCGGCGGCACCTGCTGCAGCGCCTGAAGCCGGGCGAAGGGGACGTGTCGCTGCGCGAGCCTCTCGCCAAGGTGGACCTTGGCTGTGGCTCAAGGAGTTGGACACGAGTCAATCAAAAGGGTACCCCTAAAAATGGGGTTCAATGTGAAAACCTGTTGGTTGGAAGCAAGGTGAAAGAAATAGTGCGCGCTGGAATAGGCAGGCGGCTACAAAACTGCAAAACAGTGTGCACGTCATGCCAAGATAGGAACACAGGATCGTCCCGCGGCTTGCGCAAAGCAGCTTTCAATGTGAAGCACTGGCAAGCTCAAGAAACGCGTTGACTTCTGCTTCGCTCAATGTCCGTCGCTGTGGCGATTTTGGGTAAATACACATTCAGAAGAGGCTCCAAATCAGGCGACCCAGCCAAATCAGTTTTGAAAACAGCGGTGTGCAAAGGCGTCACGTCGGGAAGAGCGGGAAAACTGCCTTTCTACGCAAAGCTGCGGGACACTGGGGTGCCATGCTGAATCGAGGCGTTGTCACATCGCCCGCTGGTAGGGAAAGGGCTCGGAGTTTTCCTAGGTGGCTCGAAAGTTACGACCCAGAGGACCACAGATCTTAATGTTTTCTAGCAACTGAAAGCTGGGCGGGTACCCGATTTCTTGCAGGGCTACCCCATGTTGTTGCTTTCTTTCACCGGGGTTGGGAGGAGGGCCAATGTCAAACCGTTGATAATATTGACGGGGATGATTTTAGACTTTAAAACATGAAAACCACCGTTTTTTTCTTCCTTTTTTCCTTCTTTTCTTATAATAAGGCGGACCCCCCCTCCAAGAAAAAGAGAGAATACACTAAACAACTAATAAACCTACAAAACAAATAAAGAAACACAAAGCATGAACAAACACACAAAACATGGTTTTCCTTTTCGTTTGCCTTCAAACCACGTATTTTGACATGCCCCATGTCATGTGTCCTGATCTTCAACTTTTTGTAGGGACTGGACCAGCGTTGTAAGTTGTGAGGATTCCTAAGGGACGAATGACAACCCGTTCGTAGTTTTGACCACAGATCCTGAGGTTTAACTTGGTGCTGCTGGCAGCTTCCGCAGCTGGTTTGGTCCTTCTTTGGGCCTGTAGGCACTAGCCCGTGCGAGTGAAAACCAAGTGCGGGGGGCGGGGAAGAATCTGCATTTTTTTTGGGTTCGGGGTTGTGCAAGGAACACCAAAAATGACCACCACCACCTGCTGGAGGTGTTTTTGCTTTCTTGTTGTGGGGTTCCATGATTTGCGACAAATCCCGATGGTGGCTCCCAAGGAGACCCCACTGGCTGCTGGACCCACTCTCAACTGCCATCAACTGACTCTCAGAAAGGGAAGCCAAGCAAGCCTGAACATCGCAGTGATAAATACGATGGCATCGTTGTAGCAGGCAGGCCTGCAGCGCTCCAAAAACGTATTTGCTGGCCGCATATCGTCTGATGCTTGTAAACATGTCATACGTGAATCTATATATTGTTGGGCTGACACTATTTGCAGCACTGATTGTGACACTGGTAGGTTTGTGTCGAGGCATGCTTGTCATTAAGACTGTGGCCAGAAAAAGGGAATGCATGGGACATGCCTGGTGAGACCGGTGATGAGAGCACTGAATCATCTTTCGGGGCTGAGTGCTTGTGACGATGCACTCACCAGCTACTAGAGCTGATTTGGTCGTGCCATTCTTGGCAAGTTTTGTGTCGTTGTTTGTGGCATTGGTTGCGGCTCTGGTAGGCGTGTTGTGTGTCGAGGC